TGCTCAGATAAGGGTCTGGAACAGATGTTGGGGGGAACTTCACACTTTTTTTTTTTTTTACATTTTGCCATGCGGCTCCCCTCAAGATCCATACCAGGCACAGAATGGGGATGGACCCCCACACTTTTTTTTTCCTTTTAAATGCTGACAATTGTTCTGTTTATGTTCTGATGTCAACAGGGAATCCCACTGACAGCAGATGAGTCGTTGTTAAGGACATGGTGGTCTCCCGCTCCCTAACAACCAGCTATTCCAACTATACGAAATGAGTACCGAAAACAAATTGGTTTAACATAACAAATATGACAAAACAAAATTCTTCAATGAGCGAAAGCATCCAAAATGAACTGAAAATTGTTTAATATGTATATGCTATATAATTTTTTTCCTTTGCTATATCTTTTAAGCTACTTGTTAAAGTGGTTGTAAAAGCTGAAGGTTTTTTACCTTCATGTATTCTATCCATGAAGGTAAAAAACCTTCTGTGTGCAACGGCCCTCCCAACCCCCCCAATCATTACCTGAGCCCCCTCCAATCCAGTGACATTCTCATTGGCTGAGGCAGCAGTGAGAGCCCATTGGCTCCAACTGCCGTCAATCGCAGCCAGTGAGCCAATGAGAAGAGAGCAGTGGCTCAGGGACGAGCATGCAGCGGTGCCCCCAGGGGGCAAATGGCTTTAGCTGGGGGCACTGCTTGAGGGGGAGGAGCCGAGATTGCTGGAGGTGACCGAAAAGAAGAGGATCTGGGATGCTCTGTGAAAAATCACTGCAAAAAGCAGGTAAGTATAGACATATTTGTTATAAATGGAGATGGGCTTTAAAGTGGACCTAAAAGTAAAAACTCTTGCTAGCAGGTATATTTCTGAAGTCTCTTCTCCCAAAAATGCTTTATCTTTCTATAAAGAGATATAAAATATTCTTACTAGTCTACATTACTTTCACTGTATACACCGTCCATTGTGCACGCCTAGCCAGTTATCTTCATCTGTAAGCAGCTAGTCTTCCACACGCCTCTCTACCCAGGACTGTACTTGCCCTATTTTTCGCCGTATAAGATGCACTTGACCATAAGACGCACCTAGGTTTTAGAGGCAGAAAACAGGAAAAAAAAAATTCTGAACTAATGGACTGCAGACACAGTACAGGAGATGACCAGAGACTGCCGACAGCACAGGGATGACCAGAGACTGCCGACAGCACAGGGATGACCAGAGACTGCCGACAGCACAGGGATGACCAGAGACTGCCGACAGCACAGGGATGACCAGAGACTGCCGACAGCACAGGGATGACCAGAGACTGCCGACAGCACAGGGATGACCAGAGACTGCCGACAGCACAGGGATGACCAGAGACTGCCGACAGCACAGGGATGACCAGAGACTGCCGACAGCACAGGGATGACCAGAGACTGCCGACAGCACAGGGATGACCAGAGACTGCCGACAGCACAGGGATGACCAGAGACTGCCGACAGCACAGGGATGACCAGAGACTGCCGACAGTACAGATGACTGCTGACCTTTGGGGAGGTGGAGAGCGGGTACCTGAATTTGACAGGTACCCGCTCTTACTTCCGCAGAGTTTTTGTTTGATCTTACCTGTTCCTCGATCCAGCCGCGCGCTGTCTTCCCGGCTTCTGTAATGGCGCTCGGCATGACAGCCGGGTGCCCAGTGCGCATGAGCGAGAAGCACTTGCGCTTTGTGATTGGTCCGGCGGCTTCTGGGATCTGTCATCCATCCCAGGTACCGCCTTACCATTCACAAAAAGCACCGCTTGTTGCGCATGCGCACTTGGCACCCGGCTGTCATGCCCATGCCCACACTACAGAAGCCGGGAAGGCAGCACGCCGCTGGATAGAGGAACAGGTAAGGTTCCGCTGCAGAGCTGAGCGGCCGGCCCGGTATTCTGACACTGCCGCGGTGGAAATACTGGACCGGCTCCCGCTCCATAAGACGCACTGACATTTCCCCCCCAGTTTTGGGGAAGAAAAAGTGCGTCTTATACGGCGAAAAATACGGTAGGCCCAGCAACTCTTCAGGCTTCAATAACTTTTTGTATAGGGGGCTTCTGGGGTACATTTGGGTAGCATAAAGGGTATGTATATATATATATATATATATATATATATATATGGCTTTTTTCTCGACGAGTACGCAGAGCGGGGTCAGAGCATGCTGAAGCGCTCAGTGCGCAGAATTCTCCAACTGTCTGCAGAGTCAATAGCTAAAGACCTCCAAACTTCATTTGGCCTTCAGATTAGCACAACCGTGTGTAGTGAGCTTCATACTGTAGATTGGGTTTCCATGGCCGAGCAGCTGCATCCAAGCCTTACATCACCAAGTGCAATGCAAAGCATCGGATGCAGTGGTGTAAAGCACGCCGCCACTGGACTCTAGAGCAGTGGAGAAGTGTTCTCTGGAGTGACCAATCAAGCTTCTCTTGCAATCCGATGAATGTGTCTGTGTTTGGTGGTTTCCAGGAGAAGGGTACTGGCCTGACTGCATTGTGCCAACTGTAAAGTTTGGTGGAGGGGGGATTATGGTGTGGGGTTGTTTTTCAGGAGTTGGGCTTGGCCCCTTAATTTCTGTGAAGGGAACTCTTAAGGCATCAGCATATGAAGATATTTTTACACAATTTCATGACCCCCAACTTTGTGAGAACAGTTTGGGGATGGCCCCTTGCTGTTTCAACATAACTGCACACCAGTGCACAAAGCAAGGTCCATAAAAAGACATGGATGAGTGAGTTTGGGGTGGAGGAACCTGACTGGCCTGCACAGAGTCCTGACCTCAACCTGATAGAACACCTTTGGGATGAATTAGGGAGGGAACTGCAAGCCAGGCCTTCCCATCTGACATCAGTGCCTGACCTCACAAATGGGCTTCTGGAAGAATGGTCAAACCTTCCCATAGACACCCTCCTAAACCTTGTGGACAGCCTTCCCAGAAGAGTTGAAGCTGTTATAGCTGCAAAGGGCGGGGCCAACTCAATATTGAATCCTATGGACTAAGACTGGGATGCCATTAAATTTCATGTGTGTGTAAAAGCAGGCATCCCAATACTTTTGGCAATATAGTGTATATACACACACTATATTTTACTATGCAGTTGGGCTGTGCCCACACATGCTTGGGTTAACTGCTTGTTTTGTCTGATTCTCCAGAAAACCGCGCTCCCCCATGTCCAGCTGTGGACTGTTCCTGCTGTCCTCATGTCCAGAGCTGGTCTATGGGCATGATGATGTCAGGAACAGCCAAGTTACAAGACCGCTAGCGTGGGGGGGGGGGGGGAGGCAGAAGCAGCGGGGACCTGTCTTACACTTGGAGGATTGGTGGATTAAATAAATATATCTTTACTTTCTGAACTCCTAGATAAAAATGAGCATTTGACCATTCTGTGCAGGCACAGCCCCACTTCATGTGAAAATAAAAAAATTGCCCGGATTACTTCTTTAACACCTACCCACCTGGCCTATAGCAGATTGATGGCCGGACGGGACAGTCGCTGTTGTGACTGGGTGTCATATGATGTCCTATCAAAATGAGCCGCTCACGCTACCGTGGGCTGCGCAGCAGCGCGATTTGTCACCGGTTGTGTCCACGGACACAGCCAATGACATATTACTACACCAGCCTGTTGCCAGTGTCATGTTACCGCTGTGACCAAATCACAGCAGATCACATGTCAATTGTATACAATGGAGGGCTTCCTGTCATACCATCCATTGTATACAATTATGTTTTTAGCTGTGACTTGTCAAGGCAGTCGCATGATACAGACAGGGCCAATCACAGCCCATCTGTATCATGTGATCAGCTTTGCCCAATCACAGCTAATCACAACAAAAGACTGAATGAATCAGTTTCATTCAGTAACAATGATTGGAAATATCAATGAAATACATTGGTATTAGAAATCATAATGTGTTAAAAAAAAAAAAAAATCACAATCACTTGCCCAGAGTAGTTCAATGTTACTATGATAACATTGTATTGCTTTGGTCATAGTGTGCTAAAAAATAAAATAGTAAAAAAAAGAAAACATAAAAAAAAAAAATAGAAACATTTGAAAAAAAAATACAAATTCAATTACTATTATTATTTTCACCAAAGAAATGTAGCCGAATACATTTTGACATAAATTGTTGAAGAAATGTTATTTATTTGCAAAATGTTATAACAGAAACGAAGAAAGGTTTCAGGTGTTTTTTTTGTTTTATTAAAAAAAAAATAAAAAACTAAGGAGGTGATTAAATACCACCAAAAGAAAGCTCTATTTGTGTGAAAAAAAAATTATAAAAATGTAATATGGGTAGAGTGTTGCATGACCGCGCAATTCTCATTCAAAGTGCGACAGCGCTGAAAGCTGAAAATTGGCCTGGGCAGGAAGGGGGTATAAGTACCCAGTATTGAAGTGGTTAAACGTCCTGCACAATGCAAAAGAGTTGACTTAACCCTCCACCCTCAATACCACCACCAGTGCCCCCTTCTCTCTGCCTGCACATAGTCATTACAAGAGGCCTCATTCTGTTTTATGGAGGATGCAGCAGGAGTGGCACACCATAGCAGGAGTGGTAGATGCAGAATGTTTGAAGAAGGGACAATGCCTTTAGGATCCCCAAAAGCTAAAGACCACTGGGTGATTCAGTAAATTTACATGCATGAATACACTCTTGACAATGTACAGCCACAGTATCATTTTTATATAGCTCTACCTATTTTTGTTTTTTTTTTTTAATGCTCGATCTATAATCATGTGACCGTGCTTGGGCAGGCCTGATATCAGTCAAGTGCAGGATGCAAGAGGATCATTTGGTGATCAGTCTTCTCTCCTGGAAGGATTAGACTGCAACTATGTAACTTTGTAGTTCATCACAAGGTAAGAGGCTGCAGCAGGGCTGATTTGGGTCAAACCAGGGGCGGACTGACCATTTGGAAACTCAGGCACTGCCCGAGGCCCCGGGGTCAGTAGGGGGCTCCACGAGACGCCCCTGGTACCTTTTTCATAGGCTTTTTTGATTTTGGGCAAGGACACAGGGGCCCCATGATCCCCTATTGCCCCAGGGCCCCATGAGTTGTCAGTCCGCCCCTGGGTCAGACATTTGTGAACAGGTACGAAGGATACACATGACTGTGCTGTCTCTAAACCAGCATCTCAGTCCAGAAAGGAAATCCTGAGCTTACAACACCTGAACAATGTTGGCGCTGTTATTCTAGAAGGAAAAGCAGATGAAGGTATTTCCAGGGCAGGGGCGGACTGACCATTTGGTCCAGGGCCTGGGGTCAGTAGGGGGCCCCATGAGATGCCCCTGGTACCTTTTTCATAGGCTTTTTTGAGTTTGGGTAAGGACACAGGGGCCCCATGATCCCCTATTGCCTGGGGGCCCCATGAGTTGTCAGTCCGCCCCTGTTCCAGGGGGAGTACGGCGATCTCTGTGGGAGATAAATACCTGGAAATGCTACCTGTACACATGAGGCAGCATGCACACACTTAACACATATTGAATGCTAGCTTCCACTTTATAGTTATGAGCCAAAAAAGTTACTAAAGTTAGTTCTAAGTGGACTGACCTTTGAAGTGATGGATCTGGATGGAGCTATAGAAAGTTTAGTCATAGCCTGTAGAATACTGAACTCTGCAGGGAGGAATGCCTTGCCTTGGGTGCTATGTTAGAGAATAGATTTGGTTCATATGCTTCCCCAGTAATGCTGTTGTGCGGATTTGCCGACGACACATTTTTCTACGCACAGCAGAGGCAGGCGGGGATGAAATAGCCTGCAAGAACCATGAAACACATTACACAGTAATTGCCGGCAGGACCGTGGTGCAGAAAAAAAAAAACTATTATTGCTCCTGTGACTCTGGAGATTATTGTTATTTGAACACATTTCTATGAAAGTGTCTGAAAACACACGGCGTTCACTCGTCACACAAACTGCCTCCCCACAAGTCAGCTCCAGAGGCTCATAAGGAAGCAGGACTCAGGTTTTTACTGAGTGAAAAGGTGCACAGAAATCTCCTCTCTCATCTGCATCCTAGGGCACAGATTTCTAAACTTTTCAGTATGAGTGCCACATAGTATTTTTTTAATATATTCACAGGCAAAAAAAAAAAAAAATAGCCTTAGATATACATGAATCCCCCTTACATTACAGTCCCCCCTCAGAAAACCCCCTTTCCATCGGGGTCCCCATCAGAGTCCCACCTTACATCAGGATTCTCATCAGAGCCCCGTAATATCAGAATCCTCCTCTTGCAGTATGGTCTCAATCAGAGCACCCCCCCCCCCCCCCCCCCCGCATACATCTGAGTGTGCTCTTACATCAGTGTCCCCATCAGTGGTGTATTTATGTATTTAGGTTTTGTACTGCCCTAGGAAACACAAAAATCGGTGCCCCCCCCCCCCCCCCCCCCCTGCAGAGAGAGTCTGACATTGACCATCAACACCCCTTCCCCCCACCCGAGAGAGCCTTTCACTACCACTGCCTTCCATTCACCAGCCACCATCACCCGAGGGAGAGAGGGAGAGGGAGAGAGATATCACACACCTTCACAGCCCCGGACATCCCCGGTAACGAGTCGGGCTATGCATACACCGTCATGAAACCCGCAGCCTCTCTTGGAATCCACCAGGCCCCCATGTCGCGTGTGTCCTTTCTTCCGTCCCTTCTTCCAAGGGGCAGTGCTGCTCCCCTGAAAAATGCTGCCCTAGGCAAATGCCTTGTGGTAAATACACCTCTAGTCCCCATCAAAGTCCCACCTCTTACATCACAGTCTCCCCTACTTCAGGATTCCCATCAGAGTCCTCCCTTACTTCAGGGTCCCCATCAGAGCCTTTATTAGTGCCCCCCCTTACAATAGGGTTGCCATCAGAGCCCCCACTTACATCAAAGTTCGCTCTTACATCAGAGTCCCCATCAGTGTCCGTTCTTACTTCATGGTCCCCATCAGAGTCTGCCTTACATCAAGACTTTCATCAGAGTTCTACTTACTTCATAGTCCCCATCAGAGCACCCCTTATATCAGTGTCCAACACCCTTACATTAGGGTCCCCACTTACATCAGGGTCCCCATCAGAGTCCCCCTCACAGCAGCCCTTATTAGTGCTCCCCCTTACAATAGGGTTGCCATCAGAGCCCCCCCACTTAGATCACGGGCCGTTCTTACATCAGGGTCCCCATCAGAGTCTGCCCTTACATCATGGTCTCCTTCAGAGTCCCACTTATTTCAGAGGGCCCCCCCCCCCCCCTTACATCAGGGTCCCCATCAGAGTCTCCATCAGAGTCTAAATAACAAAAAAAACAACTGTGAAGAACATACTGTGCATAGTCGGTAGTATTAATAACCCATGCAGAGTAACATAGAGATGAAATGGACTGCAAAAATGGGAAAGCATCAATTCAAGAAGGTCCAAAATAAAATTTGTTTTGAACAGGAAATAGGCCACTGTCTTTATACCCCAGGTGTGTGGGATCAACGTATACAAAGACTCTACGTCAATTCCAACCAAAAAAGTTCCTTTTGGAACTTGAATATCTTCTAATTTGGATAGAACATCTCTAGTATCTTTTACATAGGATTGTAAGGCAGTGACCATATCCTTGATCAAGTCATCAAAATATTTACCTATTACATACAGGGATTACACAAAAGGTTGGAATACTGTATACTGGTGGTCCTGATGAACAGTACGGACTACAAATATGAAATTAGAAGGCAATTAAGCGATTCCAATACTTATGTCAAGTTGCCAGAAAACCCCTTTTCAAAAATTGTGGACGTTTTAAACCGTAACCTAACCTGGGCATTTGAAGTAAATTTGTTGACCAAACAGAAATATAATTTATTAAAAGTTGATGCATACAATATTCCAACCTTTTATGTAATACCTAAGATACATAAAGATCCCTTGAAACCACCAGAAATACCTATATGTGGCAGACTCTCACACAGGCATTATGCCCCCTGACTTTTTTTACTGCACCCCCAGACCAGGCAGGCTAGATCCGGTCCTGGGTGGTAGTAAGTGACTACTCCAACTGAACCAATGCATTTGGCTTTGGTCTTATGCTTGAATCACCACTATCCTTGTTTATTGTGCACTGCATTGGACTTCCTTGTCTTCTCGTCTCTATACACAATTGTTTATTCTTTCCTTAATATGCTATCTATGCTGGAAACATTGTATTTACATCATTGCCTAGACAGCTCGGAGCTTTCTCCTATAGAATGCCCATTTTGAATGATCTGAGTGATCTATTTACACCGCTGCTTTATTTCTGTTGATGCCTCATCATCCATGATTGGAGAAGGTTATTAGAGAGAGAACTAACATTGAGACTTCAATATCTACCATCTCCACACTATGTCATACTGCAGCCATTGGATGCATGTGCTTCGAAGATGATCATATCGATATGTTATTGACTGCATGGTGACTTGATTCATTCACTCTGATGTCTAATTATTCATGTTACACCATCCCCCACCAAGTCCCATGCACCTGGACTTTAGTAGAATATTACCCTTCGCTGTCTCATTAGTGATTGTTCCTTATTCGTACATTCAAGCAATGCATGTGATTATATCTTGATTCCCTAGTCAGTTTGAGGCATAATATTGTCCACCAGCTACATTCCAAGGACGGACATATTCATTAATACACTTATTTTTATTGTTTTTGACTGTTTTCACCCCGCTGGAGCAATGTTCTTCAAACGATCTTTTTGAATATACACAATAAAGTATTTTTGCAATCAATGTCATCTCTCTATTACTCTGCTTGGATAATTAATACTACTGACTATGCGCAGTCTGCTCTTCACAGCTGTTATTTTTATTTAGTCAATTTATTCGGTTTAACCAAAAAAGTCCGCAAACTCAGTGCCCCCTGAGGAGACGCGCTCAGGGGTGTCACTAGTAACACTTGGGTGTGGGACCCCACGGTGTGAAAATGACACATGGTCACTGTTTTACACTCTTTTTTGCACAGCGCCCTAAGGACCAGGCCTTTTGGCTAAGTTCAGGGCAATTTTTGCTACAGGCCTCAGGGCCTGGTCTGTGCACTATTAGGCACGGTACCACTTTTTTATTTTATTCTATTTATTTAAACCACTCCCACGTTTTGTCACTTTTTCTGTTCTTATGTGTGTGTTTTTCACGGATGGAGGGTGTGGGTCCTCGGGCCTTACCTGAAGTCTAGGAGGAGGATGTGTGGCCATACGGTTCCTTCCTCCCCTGATCCCTAGGGGGTTTTCTCTTCGGGAGAACCCCCTTGCCTAGTACTGGATGTCCGGCTTCGGCTGGGCATAAGGAACGGTGGTCCACCAGGCCTTTTGGCCAGGAGGACCAAATGGGAACCTTGTCCCTGTCAGGAGCTTCGTGCCCCAGGGGATCGGGTGAACGGTCCAACCCTTTCGGGGGTAGGACAAACACACCCCTAAGTGCACGTTTTTCGTGTGTGTGTTCTTGCACTTGCACTTTTTTGCGGACACTTACGGGTTTTTACGTTATAGTTGCACGTTTGCGGACTTAAAAAAAAAAAAAAAAAAAAAAACACCATTATTTTTGGTGAGTCAGAGAACTAATACTTGTGGCACATTTTTTTGGTACTCCATCAGAGTCTCCATTATTATTATTATACAGGATTTATATAGCGCCAACAGTTTGCTCAGTGCGTTACAATATAGAGGGGGACAATACAGCAACAATACAGTTCAATACAAGAGGGTTAGGAGGGCCCTGATTCTTGGAGCTTACAATCCCATTAGGCCCTCCCCCTTACATTTGGGTCTCCATCAGAGCCCCCCCACTTACCTCAGAGTCCGCTGTTACATCAGGGTCCCCATCAAAGTCCCACCTTACATCAGCATTTTCATCAGAGTCCCTCTTACTTCAGGTCCCCATCAGAGCACCTCTTCAGTGTCCCCCCCTTATAATGGTGTCTCAATCAGAGCCCCAAAGTTATACCAAGGTTCGCTCTTACATCAAGGTCCCCATCAGAGTCACCCCCTTACTTCAGGGTCCCCATCAGAGCCCCCCATCTACATCAGGGTACTCTCTTACATCAGGGTCCCCATCAGATTCCCCACTTAATTCAAGTTCCTCATCAGAGCACCCCTCATCAGTGCTCCCTCCCCTTAACAATAGGGTCGCCATCAGAGCCCCCCACTTACATCAGAGTCTGTTCCTACATCACGGTCCCCATCAGAGCCCCCCCACTTATGTCAGGGTCTGCTCTTACATCAGGGTCCCCATCAGAGCCTCCCCTTACATCATTGCATCCTTCAGAGTTCCCCTTAAATCAGAGCCCCCCCCCCCCCCCCACCTTACATCAGGGTCCCCATCAGAGTCTCCCTTACATCAGGATTCCCATCAGAGTCCCCCTTC